TGACTGAGTCGCAGTACGGCCTCACTATTGGGTCGTATCACTGCACCCTGGGGATCGGTTGGACACTTCCCGACGCGAGTCATATCTCTACTGGAGTCTCTGCTGCAAGCACTTCGGTTACCCCTAAATAGGCCGTCCCAGCGTTTCACGCACTGGGACTCCCCCCTTAGGAACTGATCGGACCAATAGATTGGTCCGACTCCCGCCCCCGCGCCCATCCCTTGGGGAAAAACTGCTTCCTCTACTCTCTACTGGTACTACCTCTCTTCCTTCTCCAATCTACTTTCCCCTCCTCCTTCTCATCTTCCCTTTGCTGTCCCACACCCCTTTTCTCGACCCCCCTATTATGATCCCTACCTGCCCTCCCTGCTCGTCTATCCCCCTCCTGCTGGGTCTCCCGCCCCTCAGTCAGCTAGCAGAGTCCTTGAATTGTCGACATGGGCCCGCTTAAGCTGACAACATTTAATGTTAAGGGGCTTAATGTCCCGGAGAAGCAGTCTCGACTACTGGTGGACCTACGGAAATCCAACTCACAGGTGGTCTTTCTCAAGGAAACACATTTTAAGCAGGACAATGTCCCCAGGCTACAAAATAGAGACTTCCCGGTAGCATACCATTGCCCTTCCCCCCTCACTAAAACAAAGGGGTAAGCATTTTGGTGGCCAAGTCGGTAGCGTGGCAATTTCAGGACCAATTGGTGGATCCCGGGGGTAGGTACTTGCTGGTTAAGGGCACACTGGGCCAGCTGCAGGTCACCATGGTCAACGTGTACTTCCCTAACTCTGATCAGCTGGGCTTCCTACGGACCCTGGTGACGAATATAGCACAATTCGGAGAGGGAATGATCCTGCTGGGGTCTGATTTCAATTTCGCCTTGGACCCCGTTCTTGATGTCTCTAGGGGCACCTCCCATCTTTCCTACTCCTACCTCCGGAGTCGCTCCACCTGATAGACCCGTGGCGCCTACTACACCCCCAAAATAGGGACTACACCTTTTACTCCTCTGCCCACCAAGCATATTCTAGGATCGACTATTTCTATATACAACACCGAGATCTCCCCACGGTACTCTCGGCGGATATTGGTGACATTCTCCTTTCCGATCATGCGCCAGTCCATTTGTCCCTCGATCTCTCAGCTCCCACCCCCCCCGAGTTCCTTCTGGAGGCTAAATGAGTCCCTTCTACAGGACCGCTTGATCAGAGATGACCTCGAGTGAGAACTGTCAATAAAGGCTCGGTATCGTCCCCTCTGTCCACGTGGGAAGCACATAAATGTGTAATGCGTGGTGTTCTGATTAAGCACGGGGCTCGTAGGAAAAGGGAGGGGGACAGCGGGTAGGGGAACTGTTTAGAGAACTGCGAGAACTGGAGATGCTGCACAAGCAATCACTGGCCATCCTTACCTATCGCTGGCTGGTACGTGTGCGGGAAGAGCGTAACGATCTTTTATTTACAAAAACTAAACAGCGTCTTTTGCGGGGCAAACGTACCCTATACGAGTACTCGAACAAACCCGGCAAGCTACTGGCCAGAGCCCTTAGGGGCTTTTATCCCACGTATTCAATCTTCCACGGGAAGGATGGCACTCCTTTCCAGTGACATAGCGACCGAGTTCAGAACCTACTACGATAACTTGTATAACTTACAGCCCGACCCTCCCAACCCGCCCACGCCCGCCACGGCAATCGAGTCCTTCTTGGGGCGCTCAGGGATGCCGACCCTGTCGGCAGCCGACAGGGCTCAGATGGAACTCCCAGTCATTATAGAGGAACTGATTGCAGCGTCGAAACAGTCCTCCACCGGTAGGGCCCCGGGTCCCGACGGATTTACGTTGGCCTATTATAAGACCTTTATGGCGGATCTTACGACCCCCTTTCTGGCCGCCTATAACACCATCGTAACGGGTGCCCCCATGCCGACGGACGCGCTGAGGTCTCACATAGTGGTCATCCCGAAACCAGACAAGGACCCGACTCAATGTGGCAGTTATCGCCCAATTGCACTTCTGAATGCA